CCGATCTCCCTCCCCAACCTATGGCCGGGCGCTACTGGGTGTGGTCATGGGGCTGGGGCGGGTTGGGTTTTCCTTGGGTCCCCCCGTGATGTCATGAGGCGCGCTCCTGACGTCACTGCTTTGGGAGCTGATGGCCCTCCCGCGTGTCACGTGGGCCTGTCCTTGCGCCACAGGGTTCAGCCACTCCGTCCTCCCTCCCCCGGCAGGTGCTCAAGGCCGGAAGTTACTGGGAAAGGGCCTCAGGCTGAGGCGAGAACTACATCTCCCACAATGCTCTGCTCGCACGGCTGCTTGTGGTGCAGGCAGCGCGGGGCCCGGGGGGCGCGCGGGGGGAGGGCGGCGGGGCACTCCGTCCTCCCTCCCCCGGCAGGTGCTCAAGGCCGGAAGTTACTGGGAAAGGGCCTCAGGCTGAGGCGAGAACTACATCTCCCACAATGCTCTGCTCGCACGGCTGCTTGTGGTGCAGGCAGCGCGGGGCCCGGGGGGCGCGCGGGGGGAGGGCGGCGGGGGGGCCGTAGCCGGGGCTGCCGGCGCCCGGGACACTCACAAGGAAACACTTGACGCGGCAAATCTGCGAGTTCTGCAGGGTAGCGGCGCGGAGCGAGCTGCGGACAGTACCCGAATACTCGTAGAGAATAGTGCGCACACATGACTTGTAATGGGGCTGCAATGTAGGTGTAACCCACACACCTAGTCCCATGCAGTGGCACGTAGACCACTTAAAGCGAGCGGTAAGAATGAGTGAGCTCTACAGCCTAAGCTGAAAGCCAGCTGGCTTTATAGCTCAAGCTATAGAGGCACTTAAGGTAAGCTCCCCGATTCCCAGCTTTGAAACTGCCCAGTGGTGGTTACACATGGACTACACTGATAAATGGAGCCCTGCATGAGTATAAATATCTACCCAGATAAATATCTGCTCTCCAGATGCTGCAGACAATGGAGAACAGTGTGGTCCTGTGGTGACCAGCAGTCTGTGTAACCCCGTGGTCACCAACCAGTAGATCGCGATCTACCGGTAGATCGCGATCTACCGGTAGATCGCGATCTACCGGTAGATCGCGATCTACCGGTAGATCGCGATCTACCGGTAGATCGCGATCTACCGGTAGATCGCGATCTACCGGTAGATCGCGATCTACCGGTAGATCGCGATCTACCGGTAGATCGCGATCTACCGGTAGATCGCGATCTACCGGTAGATCGCGATCTACCGGTAGATCGCGATCTACCGGTAGATCGCGATCTACCGGTAGATCGCGATCTACCGGTAGATCTCAGGGGCTCTAAGAGTAGCTCTTGAGCCCTCTCTGAACTGCGCACCTGCGCAGTACATTTACATTAGATTTCCTCATGTAATGTAGGCGGGGCTTCAAGGGAGGGGCAGCGCAGTAGATCTTCGCCTGTTCTGAGACTTAAAAAGTGATCTTGGGTGTAAAAAGGTTGGAGACCACTGGTAACCCATGCACTCGCTGGGTGGGGTGTATTGTCCCATATGATGGCACTTAGACCACTTTTAGAGAGTGAGCTGGTTTTTCACACAAACAATAGAGGCTCATGCACTAAGCTCCAGAGGTTCTAGCTTTGGTTCCGCCTGTTGGTGTTACACCAGCACCCAGTGCTAGCAGCTCCTGCTGGCTGTGCATCTATATGACCCCAGACAGGAAATGCCACGGCTGGAGGTAGGGGACTTTACCTGCTGACTTTACCTGCTGACACTGGGCTCCTGGGCACCATGGGACCATGCTCCTCTCCATTGGCCATAGCGTCTCTTGGAATCCCAATGTCTATCCATGGACATTGGCATCTGTGGGTAGACATAAGCTGCCTGGGTTCAGTCTTCTATGGATCTCATGGCGGACTAGGGCCTTCCTGTAGAATATTGTTGCATTTATTTAACACGTTTTACACATCGATATGTTTAGCAATTTGACCGTTCTTGCTCTTGTTACATAGCATTTCCTAACTTTGACTGAATTTGTGATTTTTAGTATTCTTTGAGTTCCAATGTAGGAAACCATGTAGAGTCCCCCACCTGCATAGGACGTTAACATGGTCTAAATGCATGATTTTTAGATCCATACAAGAGACCTCTACTGCGTGACCTAAGAGTAGCAGATAATAGTACTAGACTCCTGTCGTCTATATGGACCTATCACTTGTAGGGAATAGGACACATTTTGCCAGTGGCTTGTACAGTTGTTTGGTAAATTGTTGTGGGATTGCAGTACAGGCAGTCCCCGTATTACGTACAAGATAGAGACTGTAGGTTTGTTCATAAGCTGAATTTGTATGTAAGTCAGAACTGGTACATATTTGTAGGGGAAACTCTAGCCAAACATTTCTCCAGAGCTCAGTTTTATTCTCCCACACCTCACTTCCCTCAGTCCTTTATTCTCAAGATGAGGTGTCTGCTGAGAAAAGCCACTCCGCGTCTCCCTGGTCTGCTGGGAGAGGCACTAGCTTCGCGTCTCCCTGGTCTGCTAGAGGGAAGCAGCTAGTGCGGGGTTGCCTCACCCCGTTTGTAAGTAGGGATCTGATGTAAGTCGGCCTGTATTTCATTCTTGTCTGTGGAGATGAGAGAGCTCTAATGGTTACAGAAAGCACAGCCAAGCACATAGGATGGCACATTTTACTCTGAAAGCAGGAAGGCTAACTGGATGAGAGTTTTGTCAGATGTCCATTGATGTATGGGACTGTAATGTATCACTAAAATGCATTTCCAAATGGGAATTAAATGCTTACATCTCTTTGAGAATTAGGCAGAGCTTGGAATAGAACCCTTTTCAAGAAGGGACCTTTTGCAACCTCTCAGTTTCCCATCTGTAAAATGAAGGTAGTTATACTTATTTGCCCTCTGAATTAGGGGAATATGGCCAGTTCTACAATAAGGCCAGTTCTACACTGGTGGAGAAAATGGATGCAAGATATGCAACTTCAGCTAAGTGAATTGCATAACTTGCATCGATTTTTCTTGGGTGGCCCCAGAGAGGGTGGTCAACAGGGACAACTCTCCTGTCAAGTTCCCTTATTCCTCGCAACAGTGGCAGGGAGCTGAGGTTGCTGGCCCTCCAGCCCAAAGGCATCCCTGCAGCATGCAGAGCATGGGCAAGGTGCAGCCTGCAGTGTGTGCAAGCCCCAAAGGGTCCCATCATACAACAAGTCCTAGTCCACCTGAACAGTCCCCTTTTCATCTCAATCTGCACATCTATCATTGAGAAAATCCATCTTAGGGCTGGTAAAGTTTTTCTTCTTGTTTGTAGATTTGATTGCCACCACGGTGCATAATGGAGCCCTTAACCCCTTCTGAGCCTTCCCCACAAAACAGCTTGCCCACACCGCAGAAGAAGTACCATGTCCTGGTGGGTGTTACTGGAAGTGTGGCTGCCCTGAAGTTGCCTATTCTGGTCTCAAAACTGCTGGAGATTCCTGGGGTGAGTAACTTACGCTCCAGTCAGTTAGAAGAGTTACTGTGAAAATATCTTCCTGTTTCCTTTTTATCCTTTCTTGGCGGAGATCAGATCAAGTCAGTTCAACTTTAAAGCTGATTCTTGCTGCTGGTTCTGGGGTCTGAAAATCAGGCTGGGCATTTTTCTGCCTCTTTCCCCATTATAAGTAATAAAGAACTCAGACATTCTCACAATAAGAGCTTACTTGTCAGTTTGCTGATCTCACACAAGATGTGATGGGAGTTAGCTTTGTGTGTCATTATTATTTGGGCATTGCAAGGCTAGCTGATTTTAAAATGTTGGTCAGCAAACCTGAATTTAAGATACAAAGGAAAAGTGCCATATGCTTGCCAGTGCTCCTAGTTTGTAGTTCAGATCATGCAATCTAAATAGTCTCAGTAGTTGAGTCATAGAACTTAAGTTGGATGCCAGCGTGAGATGGAAGAGGACAAGCTATAAAAATATATAAGTATCTGTATGTAAAATAGGGAAGTTAAATATTGGTTAATTGAATAGTCGATTAACCTCATGAATTCTTATCATAGAACCATAGAACTGGAAGAGACCTCAGAAGGTCATCAAGTCCAGCCCCCTGCTCTAGGCACGATCAATCCCAACTAAATCAACCTGGCCAGGGCTTTGTCCGGTTACTCAACCATTCTGTAGTCCCCGGGGGTGGGGCTGGCAGCCAGTGCGCTCTGGACCCACTCCCAATGAGCCTCCTGCCACTCTGCACTACTGCCTCTGTATCAGAAGCAGCAGCGTGGGGTGCCAGGCAGGAGGTAATCTGTGAGGGGAGCCAGTTTAAAAACCATCTCCCCTCGTGGATCGGCTGCCCATCACCCTGCACTGCCGCCTCTGATAGGATGGCGGCCAAATATTTCTGGGGAGTGGGAAGGGGCTGAGCTCCTGGACCTGGTGTGAGCTGGAACTGAGCCGGTATGCCTGGCTCCTAATATGCTTTAAATGCAGAGACGCAGCAGGGGTAGGTCCCAGACCTAGCGTGAGCCAGGACTGAGCTGGGCTGCTGGCCAGCCTGCTAATAAATTTACTGGTGGGGTGAGGAGGGAAATGCATGTGGTATATAGCATTAACCTATACACTTTTGCTTATTGGTTAATTGACTACACTATTACAGCCCTAATGTGAAAACTTAAAATACAGTGAATAAGAACATAAGACCGGCCGTACTGGGTCAGACCAAAGGTCCATCTAGCCCAGTATCCTGTCTGCCGACAGTGGCCAGCCCCAGGTGCCCCAGAGAGGGTGGACCGAAGACAGTGATCAAGCGATTTGTCTCGTGCCATTTGTTTCCAGCCTCTGACAAACAGAGGCTAGGGACACCATTCCTACCCCCTGGCTAATAATCTTTTATGGACCTAACCTCCATGAATTTATCTAGCTTCTCTTTTAAACTCTGTTATAGTTCTAGCCTTCACAGCCTCCTCTGGCAAGGAGTTCCACAGGTTCACTATGCGCTGTACCTTAGAGACTAACAAAACATGTAGATGGTATCATGAGCTTTCATGGATACAATCCACTTCTTCGGATGAATGGAGTTAAGGAGTCCAGGGTACAAATAAATAGCAGAAAAAGAGAGGGGATGGGAAAGAGAAGGGGGGGGGGAAATGGGGGGAAAATATTATCAATTAGTGTCCATGCTAAATGAGGTGACTAGAGTAGGCACTAAGTACCCAGCGCTTAGCTTTTTATGTTGTTAGGGTATGCATTCAGTTCAGGTCTTTGTTCAGACCTTGATTCCAAGTGTTAAACTTGTAAATGAAACCAAGTTCTGCAGCTTCTCTCTCAAGCTGTTTTTTGAAGTTGCTTTATAATAATATAGTCACTTTTAGATCCATTAGTGAGTGCCCGGGCAAGTTAAAATGTTTCCCAACAGGTTTCTCTGTGTTACCATTTGGAATATCTGATTTATGTCCATTAATCCTATGTCATAGAGACTGTCCAGTTTGACCAGTATATATAGCATACACATCTGTATGTATGTGCATTTTTAAAACATTGTTATTGCCTAGAGTAACCAATTTGTCCAGCAGATGGCAGTATGCACCAGGAGTAAATAGATTCACTCCCTCTCCCTCCCCCCCCCCCAAAAAAAGGAAATACAATAGATTTTGCTGTAAAGTAAAAGGAAAATTCAGGGTACTTTCCTATTTTGGAACACACCCAATTATAGTGATTCATTGGGGGGTGGGGAGAGAATTTGTGGCAACTTTTTTCTTAAACATGGGCCAAATACATAATGCTATGTATATTGCCTTGGTTGCGAGATGTTCTTGTTTAATATCTTTCGAATGATTCATATATTTAGGATTCCTGTACTCTAGAGCTCAGGGTACCCAATAAGTTTTGGACACATGAGATGGTTTTTTTGGAAACATAATTGTGAAACTAATTGGTGGTGGTGGTAACAAATTTGGAAAGGCTATTGGAGGTACAGAGAACTGTCAGGGGGGAGGGGTAGCAGTGCTGTCCATCTCATCAGCTGATGGAAACTAAGTTCAGCTGCCATGCTGGGGGAAGGAAAAAGTCTTAGTTACGCTTCTCAGGGTATGTCTACACTAAAAAAATTAGGTCCATTTTATTTCATTTGACTTTGAGCATCCAGTTTAACAAATGTGATTGTTTTGCATATCCCCGCTGGTGGCTAAAGTTGACAGAGCACATCCTCATTGCCAGGGGTTGCATTGACTCGAAGTCACACTGTAGTTTGCTATCTCATAGTCCCTGCCATGGATTGGAATTCTGGGCTAGGGTCTCAGTGCTTCATGGGATGAAAACATTGTTGCGAGTGGTTATAGGTCCCTGTTGTCACCCTCCCATGTCTGTGGCTCAGAACCTGAGTGGCCTTCTCCAGCCTTGTCCTGTGGTACCTTTGTCTAAGCTCCTTTATTTTCACATGGCATTGTTCTGTGTCCCTGATGCAGCCCTTATCCACCATGCCTTGTGCGATTTTTGGCATAGATCTCAGCAAAAATAATGAGGAGTACTGTGGCACCTTAAAGCCTAACAGATAAAGTGTGTTTTGCCCACAAAAGCTTATGCCCTAATAAGTCTGTTAGTCTTTAGGGTGTCACAGGACTCCTTATTGTTTTTACAGATACAGGCTACCGAGTCTCTGATAAATAGCAGCGTTTCTTTGGCCGGTTCAGAACTCTTCCCCACTCTCTAACAATCGGATACAGGATCTCTCCTGAAGGATCCCTGCTGGAGTGAGTTCTTGCTTATAGGCATGCATGCTGGTGAGCTCTCCGCCAAAAGTTCCCCCAGGCTTTTCTTGTTCTCCTGGCAGAAGGAAATTGGAGTTAAAGGGCTCACCAGAGCATTCACGCTGGTGAACTCTGGGTCATCACCTGGAGGCCAGTAACTCCAAATTACAATATACAGCGTTTACAGTGCCCTTAATTCGAAGCATGAATGTTTACTCTGGCCTTACTCTGCTGCTTCCGGTGGAGTAGAGGAGTCATTTTTAAAAGCCCTTTAGGTTAATGGGAGGGACTCAACCTTTTACATTCCTAGTTTACACTGTTAACTGGTTACCAGAATGCTTACTAGGTAACCAATTAACCAGATGGGCCAGGACAGGTGGTGGGAACCCAGACAGGTCATGGCACAGGCAGGGCCCCACAACGGCCCTGGCCGGGGTAGGCAGGCCTGTGAGACCCCCACCCTGGCTACCCTGCGCTGGTCCACAACGGCTAACTGGCTAAACGCTGTAATTTTAATCAGGTAACCAGTTAACTGTTTTGAGTGATATTTACAACCCTAGTGCAAACACTCATTATACATTTGACTTAATATTGAATAGCCCGTAGCCCCAAGAACTGAAAGATGCTTAAGGTTTAGACCAGACTGGGAAAGTGAGTCAGCGATAGTAAGAGGTCGTGTGTTGCACATCTGGAATGTAGGTTATGGAGGAATTGTCCATTTCCCCCTGCCCTCACTCCCCATCTTAGCAACAGGAGATGTCTTAATAGTAGAGCCTCCAGCATTCTCCCTCTCTCGCCACCCTCCAGTCCTGTGCTGCTGTCCAGAGAACCTCTCTCCACTCTGTGTCAGGAAGAAAGAAGACTACCCATTCTGTGAGTGTTTAAATCAAAGCACATCCCTTCTCTATGAGTACAGTTCATTGATCATCTAAAGACTTTGCAGCAAGCTGGGGCTAAATTTGATAGCGTATTTGATTCTCCTGTGCAGGGGCCTGCAAATTTTGTGGCAGTTTCACTTTAACTTAAAAATAGTGTTTTTTCACTGAATGGAATATAAAGACTCCATTTAGTGTAGGAGCCATGGTTATTTATTTATTTTATTTATTTTGGCAATAAATTCCATTTATTTTGTACTGTCTGTATAATGTCAGGGCTTAAGCCAAAGCCTATTGAAGTCAATGGGAGTCTTTCCAATGACTTCAGTGGATGCTGAATGAGGCCCTCAGTTTTCATGTTCCTGCTGGGCTGATTTTTGTACCGACAGTGTAGTGGAACTTGGGAAGAAAACAGATGAAGTTTTTGCATCCTTAAGAAACATGCATGAAGATTTAAGGTTCTGGGATAAGCATGTTAGTTAGACATTTCTGCTAAAATGATCAGCGGTGAAATAGTTGACAATTTAAATATCAATATTGTAATAATTAAGTTTCACATTTAGCCACTCATTGAGATGAATGAGGTAGTTAATACATCTCATAGCCATAAGGTTAAGCTCTCTACAGACTCAGGAAATTAACAGTGCATCTGTTAACATTTTTAAGGTTTCCTTCACTACCATAACGGCTGTTGAAGCAGGAAAAAAAGTAGTATGTTATCCAGGTCACTGAAAAATTTTGCTGCACACTTATGTATTTGTTCAGAGTTACTAATATAAGCCAAATCACTTCTTTTTGACTCTTTAAAATGGCACAGACAGGTAGATGTGGACCAAAGTTAGGCTTGCAGAGCATCAGCAAGTGGTGTCTGCATAGACACAGC